ATGGAGTAACAGGAAATGAGAAGAAGAAATGAAAAGAAAGAGCACCTTTGCAGCAGTGATTAATTAAGAGCCTACAGCAAAACTAGTAGAGAAAAACTAATGCAAGTTCTTATACCATGAGCTGTTAAAATAACACACAGTACATTTTCACAAAAAGAGTCCATCATATCAGTGAGTGAACTCTTGAACACAAGCTACCCACAGATATTACAGTATAAATCATGCAATAACACATCAATGATAAGAGTAATGAGTGCTAGTAACTGGTATAATAATTGTCATGACAATTTTTATGCATTTATAATAATTATAATAGGAACATGAATTAACACAATGATATAAATAAGAGAGAGAGAGAGACTGAGAGATGTTATATAATGTCACACAGAAACAGAGAGATAGCTAGGAAAAGTCATTGAATGAATAACCGAGTGATTGAACTGCACAGAGTTGCTGAAATTGAAAAGGAGAGAATTCTCCAGTCTTATAATTTTTCTGATACAAGTTTGAACTGATTCCAATCAAATTTGTATTTTTTATGAATTTAATTAAAGTTTTTCTAAAAGGCATGCACTATTGTAGCCCAGTCATGAAGCTCATGCTAATCACATGCATGAGTTGTTATTGTAATGTGTGCAGTGTTACACATGTGAAGGAGTTGTAGATCTTATGATAAGGTACAATTAAGAGATTGCAACAAGATCAATTTTTTTGCAAAAAAACAAACAGCATTTAAAAATAATTATTCATTAATAAAGTTAGTTAATTGGTAGCTGATCATCAGCAGTAACAGTTGTCAAACTTGATGTATGATTGCATTGGTAGGCAGTATGTGCATCTGATGAAGCAACTGTTTCCGTTGTGAAGACATCATTGTGATCATTAGGCACTACACAGAAAGGTTCTTGCTGTTCCTTGTTGTTCTTTTTCATCCTTTTTCTTTCTCTTTGTTTTTTACACTTCAATATACAAAGATGTATTATAACAATAGTACCAGTAATTATACCAGAAGAGGATATTAACGAATAGGGCACAGTACTACCATTATAATAGACAACTAAAAGAGGGAAGAAAACTATTGCTATTATTGTATTAACTACTGGATATACTATTAGTGGTAGTAACTGCTTGCTAAGGACTTTCCATTTATTATCAGTGACCAGTAGAAACTCTGCTTCACTGTCTTCTTGTCTTTGGTGATGTAATCGTGATCTTCTGATTGTTACAATAAATATAATGACAACAAGTACTGACATTATAAAGTATAATACCCCAGCAGTACCGTACACAACATAATGCATTATTTGAGTGCAAGGATCAATTTTAGCAAAGGGGATATAGGCAGCTATAGCAAAGCATAAAGTTATGATTGCAATCGGTTCCAGTTTCTTAAAGTTTTTCAATTCCTTGAGGTGCACAATACAAAGATAAAGGATAATGGTTAACCAGAAGGTGAACACTACATTAGAGGAGTAGGTTATATGTGGAATAGCTATAGCAAATGCTTTGAATATTTTTGAGCTGTCATCATATTCAAATGATGTTAACTGAGATAGAGAGAAGACTAACATTGTAACCAGTTTGTACATTATCAGTCTTTGTACAATATCTTTATAGAATCTACTGACTATTGCAAAGACCAGGGCCACTATACATGTTATGGCTCCTAGACCACCACATACTTCTTCTATTGTGGCAATTGTACTCCCAGTGTTCCAATTATCACAGTCACTGTTGCTGGAGGTGTTGTCATATGGGGAAACAGATGAAGAAGTGAGCAAATACATCCTGATTTACTGTGGCAAGAATGTATGAGGTGGAGATTGGAGTGGACCTGAGCTGCACTGATGGTGGTTATAAAGTTCAAAGGTGAAGATCTAATCATAATACAATTCTGTTTATACAAAAATTTTGAATGAGAGTACAAAGAAAGACCAGTCTGCTACATGATGATATGGCATGATTCCTTCAAGAATTATCGAATCCTGTATGATACTGCATGTATTTATAATAATCATAATAGGGAAATGAATTAACACAATGATATAAATAAGAGAGAGAGAGAGAGAGACTGAGAGATGTTATATGATGTCATACAGAGAGAGATAGCTAGGAAAAATCATTGAATGAATAAATGAGTGATTAACTGCATAATCAATTGGAATAATAATAATAATAATAATAATAATAATAATAATAATAATAAGTCATAGTTCCTCTATGAAGTGGTTCAATAATGTCATGACCACTCATTGCCTGAATTTGAATCATCTGATAATACTCTCTATATATGTATGCAAACATCATGTACATTATATTGAAATTTGCTTCAAAACTGGACCAAAGTCCCTGTACTATAGTACAGGGACTTTGGCCCAGTTTTGGAGAAACTTCAAAGATTCATAAAAATATCCAATTTTGATCAGAATCAGCTCAAACTTTCTACATAACATAAATTGCATAAAAGTTTGAGCTGATTCTGATCAAAATTGGATTTTTTACGAATTTTTAAAGTTACTCCAAAAGGCATGCACTATATACATGTATATGAACATACCATTATTTTCTTTTTCTTTTTAGCTGATTTAGATTTCTTGTCTTTATTTCTTTTCAATGCTGGAGTTCCACTCCTGGTGGAACTGGTTGATGAGGTCCTTGATCTACTCCCTTGCTTCATTGCTGGATGAACACTGCTATGAGGTACTAATAACTGTAGAGGAAAGATTGTCAAAAAGTTCTTAAATGTGGCATGCAATTGTAATGCTTGATCTTTGTACAATATCTTTATAGAATCTACTGGCTATTGCAAGGAGCAGGGCCACTATGCATATTATGCCTCCTAGAACATCACAAACTCCTTCCATTGCAGCCATGATGGTATGTGTCTCATTTCTTTTACAATCATCCATATCTTATGAAAGGTAAAGAAAAATGAGAAGAAACAGCTATAGATCTACAACTGGAACAATGCCAAGTTCACCTTTAGCAGGAGCTAAAACAGCAATAGTGGTCACATGACATTTTCACAAGTCACTTAATACACTAATTGTTATTATAACATCAGACAATGATGTACCTGACCTCTAGCACAAATACTATATCTGCATAAAACATACAATGCATGCAATAAGCCTACTACAATGTGCACTGAATACATAATTTAATGTAAGTTCATAAGTTTTTAATTAGTTCACCATGAAGGTTGATGTACGAGTAAATTTGTATGTAGTACGTGCATTTGTTGATGCAACTGTTTCTCTTGTGAAGACATCAGTATAGTTATTGGGCACTACACAAAGAGCTTCTTGTGGCCTTTCATTTTCTTTTTTCTTTCTTTGTTTTCTTTTACACTTTAATATACAAAGATGTATTATAACAATAGTGCCAGTGATTAGACCAGAAGAGGATATCAATGAATAGAGATAGACACCTGGAAAAGTGTCGCCATTATAATAGAGCACTAAAAGTGGATAGAAGATCACAGCCATTACTGTGTTAACTATTGGATACACTACTAGTGGTAGTAACTGCTTGCTGAGTGTTTTCCATTTATTATCAGTGACCAGTAGAGACTCTGCTTCACTGTCTTCTTGTCTTTGGTGATGTTTTCTTGATCTTGTGATTGTTACAATGAAAATAATCACAACCAGTACTCAGGGGCGTAGCTGAGGTAGGGCCTGAGGGGGCCTGGGCCCTACCATCAAAGTGCCCTTATAATTATATTCATTGAAATTATAACCCAAAAGATTATATTCATTGTTCTTAAAATAACAAAAGGGGGTGGCTGATAACCACAGCTCTTTTTAAAGCTATATACAATGATAATTTCACTCTGATTTCGCTCAGCTTGCAGGAAAATGCTTCCATTTTGTTACGTAAAAGGGGTGTGGCCAAAATTGCGGCGCGCTTCGCGCGCCATTTTGTCTCTTTGCCCTACCATCACCCAAGGTCCAGCTACGCCCCTGCCAGTACTGACATTATAAAGTATGATATCCCAGCAGTACCATAACCAATTATGTAGAGGATCAAGTTATTTGGATCTTTTGTTGATTTTGAAAAGTTAATTATTAGTTTATGTTAGGGTCCGCAACATGAAAAATCAAATGTTACAAAAAGGTTTCTTTACTTTATTAGCAGAACTTAGCACCTGTTAGTGTACTAAATGTACAAGAAAGAAAAGGATTCGACTCTTCTCTCTGCAGATAAATAATAATAATTTGCTTTTAATTGCCACGCCTTCTTTATTTAACTTAATATTAAATTTAACTCTGTAAAAGTCCACGCTAACTTTGCTGACATTACTCGGCACAGCAGTACTGAGTCTTAGGTGAGTAT